TGAACAGCTGAATGAAGGGAACAGCTGATCATGATTGTGCAGTCAGGTGCATTTGCTCCCACCATGGGGGCAGAGACCCTGTGGGGTCTGAACAGTTGAACAGTCAGCTGAGACCTGACGGCAGCCCCACAATGATGTGCTGCAACGACAGGAGGACATCTCCACTTTACTGATGAATAACATGAACGAGCTGTGCGGATCAGCACAGACACTTTGAACACATTCCTGTAACAATTATTCAATTGACCTCGAGTCAGACAGATCCAGTCCCAGCATGCTTTGCTTCAGACTAATTAACTGCCAGGAAGCAGCAAGTCACCAGTGTGGGTCACATCTGGAAGAACAGCAGCACCTGTCTATGTACAGCACTGCAACCTTCAGCAGAAATGCCCTTGCTATGGAGGCTGGGCCCAGATGCATAAAGCTTCACGCTTTAAGCTCACGGCCTTAGACATAGCCCCAGCAGAGGCCACAGCCTGCTGACGAAGAATCTCAGTCCATCCATTCTCTTCTGCATTTGACTTCAGGTCATGGAGCGGTTGGAGCCCATCCTACCCCCTGTACCCCCTGGACAGGTATCAGGTTTAACTTCCCACAGACAGGACAAAGACACGCTGTGGATAACATCTAATGGTGTATGGTCTACCTTACAACATGAAGCGCCTTGCTGCTGTGGGGATTTGGTGCCATATAAATAACACTTTCCTCGTCTTAACAGATGTGCTATAAATAAAATGTGTCTTACTTACTCCAGATGCTACATATTATAAGGTAGAAACCCTGGAGGCGGTCTTTACTGTCACGTCTGCTGACTGCAGCTTCTTCTACAGCTTCTCCTCTGACAGCACAAGAAAGAAAACTCACCAGCTTTAAAACACGATTTACATCATCTGAGGTTCTCACTGAGAGAACAGTTCAAGAATGTCCCCAAACTAACGTGATCAATAATAATTAATCATTCGTTTTAAATCAAATAGGATAATAAAAATGATGATACTGATGAAGACTGGTGAATATTGTGTTGATGATGTGACTTGAACGAGCTGCTGCTGAGTGATTGTTCTTCACTGTGTAATACACGCCTGCTTCCTGACTTTAGCAGCAGTAGTACGGCCCACTCCAGCTCCCACTCTAGCTCCCACTCCAGCTCCCACTCCAGCTCCTGCTGCCAGACCCAGTGCAGCTCCCACCAACAGTCCCACTGGACCAGCTGCAGCTCCAACAGTAAGCTCGGTGCCAATCGCAGCACCGACTCCAGCGGCAGCTCCAGCTGCCCCGAATAAACTCGTTGTTCCTTCTGCTTCATATCTTGCTTCAGTGGCCGTTAGCCCAGCCTGTCCTCCTGAAGTTGCTCCATCTCTTGGTTATAGCATTCTCTGCCTTCTCAAACATCTCGCTGGTGTAGCAGCTTCCTCCGGTTCTCTGAACCATGGTGTTGACCTTCTCCAGCAGCTCTCTGACCTGAGCAGGATCTCTGCTTCTGTTGTTAAAAACATGATATCCTCCACCACACTGACGGATGAAGTCATGGAGAGCTGGATTTTCCCTGATGAAAGTTCCTGTGGTGACTCTCCCACGCTCCAGGTCATCTCCACGTGTGAACAAGGCCATGGTGTGAATCTCTCTGTGAACCTGTCCACACAGAGCAGCAAAGGAGATTGATGTCCTGACCTCTGTCTTCATCTCCTCTTCAGTTTGAACATTATCAAACACACCTGGAGTATCGACCACAGCCAGTTTTTGACCTTCAAACATTTCCTTCTGACACTCTGAAGTTACCGAGTTCGGAGATGGTTTAGATTCAAAAGCATCCTCTCCTCCTAAGATGGTGTTTCCTGATGCACCAGATCCAGTTATTCCAAGGAGCACCATCCTGAGGTCTGGTTTCTCTTCTATCTCTTTCTTTTGTGGTTCCTCTGACTCTGTTAAAGAAAGTAGAGAACTTCAGTGATTTCACCACATTTTGCAGCTGAGGACTAAGTCACGGTGAAGCCGCATTCGCAGTGTGAAAACGTGTTTGACCTTCCTGATTTCCATTTCTTTTATTGTAACATTTCCATAACGTCTCAAGCACCAGATAGTTTGTTCTCACCACAGTTTATTGAGGAGGTACAGAAAAACAGGCCAGGAGGAGGCGCTTCCAGGTCGGGAATGCGCCCTGACCGTCGTCTTCACGTACGCGCCGAGTGGCGGTTCAGGGTACCCCGCCTTCTTGGAGTCCCTGGGTGGGAAAGACTCACTGGCAGTTGTCCCCACTGGCCCAAGCAGTCATTAGGTTTAGGGGAAGTCACTTTTTCACACAATATTTATGCATTGATCAAACTTATATTTTGATTTGTCTTAATTAAGAGTAAAATGCTTTATTATTATGAAATGGAGAAAAGTTGTTTATCTCTCTGATAGTTGTTAATCGCGTCAGAACATTAAGATCTTTCACTCTCTTAGCTGTGATGCAGAGGTGGCCCTATCCCTGCCCCACGTCACACCACACATCATACTGCATATTTTTCTACTTAAAGAAAACATCTGGATGTGAGTCTGAAGCTCAAGGAGAGCGAGGCTCGTGTGGCCTTCCCACTGACGGCTTGTTTTTCACAGACTCGCAGTATCGACGTTAAATCTTTGTCTGACTTCATTAAATATACTAAATTTATTGTACAACGAGGTGATTCAGGAAATGGAGCTGCTGCATCTGTCACTGAAAAGACACCAGAGATCAAACTTTGAGTTTTAAACACGTCTCCTCGTCAGAAAAGTCGATCTGATCGTTTAAACGTGAATCTGCCGGAGACGAGAGAAGCTACAGAGGTTTGTACTTGCTCTCTCTGCGTCTGTCAGAAGTGTTGAAATCACATTTCCTCCTCGTGTCATCCACAAAGTGCTGCCATCGAGGGTTTGTTTAAACATCAACTATTGTAAAAACAAAGGAAACCAGTGAGAGGAAAAGATCAAAGACAGATGAAACCTAAGAAAGGTAAAGTGAGTGTTGAGTCTTATCACTCTTTAATCACACTCATTTTCTACATTGCTATTTTTAAATGTACTTGCTGAGTCGCTTGTGTTTGCTGGCCATGTTCGTCTTTTACAGTTGATGTGTGGTTTGTGTCTCTGTTGAATAGTTTCCTCTTTGTTACACTACAATTTGAGTCTGCTGTTAGCGCCTCCCTTTGAATAGGAGGAAACAGAAGCAGGTAGTTGTTGGTTGCACGTCAGCAGTTGTGTAATTTAGCGACTCCATCTGTGTGTGGTACATCACTGCTGTAGTGTGCGTGCAGCAAAGCACAAAGCCTGTGATCAACAGCCATTTTTCTGCTGCTGTTACAGATCTTTGTGAAGAAAAGTGAACGTCACGCTCGCCGGACAATCCTGCAGGTGCTGTTTGGACGGGTCATTTATCCCTGAATGCTGTCGGTCAAACATAGTGAGCTGCTCTAATGCTTGAATCACAGTGCCATTAGACCTAATGTCACACTCAGTAGCAACACTAGGACCCACGTTTCTTAATCCCTGCTAATGGGGTCCCTCACACTTCTTAAATACATTTACAAGGACCTTAGGTTTAGAAATCAAATGAACAGCTCTGAGGTTCCTTTCTTTAAGAAAGGGTAGGATGGCCCCTCACGGTCTCTAAATGAACAGCGAGGTCAGTTTATGATCATTAATATGCAAATTCTCATGACCACTGATCCATGTCCATTAGAGAGCTGGGGAATGGCTGCAATCACAGCATGTAAGATGGTGACAGATGTACTCTTAGGCCCCCTCCTCCATTCAGAGATGGAGGAGGGGGCCTAAGACTCCTTGACTCCGCCCTCAAAGCGTTCCTCCCTGTCCAGGATGTTACATCCTCATCACTGAAAGAGTGTCCACTGGCCTGTAGGTGTAAAGACTGCAGAGTCCTGGCCTGACGAGGTGGCTCTGCTGTGTTGTGCATCCTCTCAGCCAGAGGTTGTTTAGTTTCCTCGATGTATAAATCCTGCCAATCCTCCTGCACTTAGGCAGCAGCTGACTTCCTGCATCACCTGGAGCTTTCTTTACGTGCCTTCCTAGCTTTGACAGATGGGAAACCTGCAGTCAGCTGAGACTGAAGAAGTCACCTGATGATGACGAAACTGTCACGGTCTGGCTGGCAGACCGTGGGGAGGTGGGGAAACAGGACCCAAACGCCGGACTCTTCAGTGCAACAGTGTTTATTTACAAGGTGGTGAAGTAAACAACAATGAATCCCCAGTTTGCCGTGTAGTGCTCTCTGCCCCAGTGTCCCTGCACTCCCCGTGCTCACCGCTCCTTCTCGTCCCACACTCCTCCTGAGGGGGAAACAATAGAGGCAGCCGTTGCAACTTGTCCCAGCAGGCATACACTCACGCTTGACTTGCTTGAAGCCTGACGTGACGTCAAACGCAATAATCCAGCGTCGGTGGAAGCTCCATCGCTCATCTAAATAGCTCCCCCGACGAGCCCAGATGAGGAGCAGGTGTGCGGCCAGGACTTCGGGTGTGGCCAGCCCTCAAGTTAGGCCACGCCCCCAGGGCTGAAGGTGCCTGTAACTTGGCCACAGCAGAAAGGCAAAACAGACACATACCTGCCTACATACAGATGTGCACAGGGGCAGTGCAGACAACACACCAAATAATAATAATAATAATAACAACAACAACAGTCATAGTCCCCACTGCCCACGGACCCCGAGTCCCCAGAGCCGGGTCTGTGACAGAAACGTTTCTCCCACTGAAAACGTCCAGATGAACAGAATCAACCTTTTGAGATTTCCTTACCTGGATGACTGAGCAGGTTCTTTTTTTAATCGAACTTTTTAAATACTAGTCCTTCAAACTAGTAAAAACATGGGTAATGGGATCCCGGTCTCCATTACAGTCTCTGACCCAAGAATTTAGGTTTTAACCTCTCCAGTGTCCCAGTGAACAAACTATGGATGTTGTAAGATGGCGCGGCCACGTCCAGACGCCTTCCTGACCACTCCGCTCAGACTATGCACCTTTTTAGTTGTTTACTTATTTATTGCTTTGTTAAACATGGCAAAATCTTCTAGTTTTAGCAGGTGTGTTCACTTCCATCTTCAACGAGTCCCTGGCGAAGTCTGTGGTCCCCACATGCTTCAAAAGATCCACCATCATCCCTGTGCCCAAGAACAGCAAACCCTCATCCCTGAACGATTACCGGCCAGTTGCACTGACCTCGGTAGTAATGAAGGTGTTTGAGAGGCTGCTGAAGAACATCATCTCCTCCTCCATCCCAGACACCACAGATCCACTGCAGTTCGCCTACAGATCCAACAGATCCACAGAGGATGCCATCGCCCACGTCCTACACACCACTCTCAGCCACGTGGACAAGAAACAGGGTAACTATGTGCGAATGCTGTTTGTTGATTACAGTTCAGCGTTTAACACAATAGTGCCCTGCAGACTGTTCACAAAGCTGAGGGATCTGGGACTTAACAGCCGTCTGTGTGCATGGGTGTTGGACTTCCTCACTGGGGGAACTCAGGTGGTGAGGGTGGGCAGGTGCATCTCCAACAACGATGAGGCGGCCTACGTGGATGAAGTGAAGAATCTGGCATCGTGGTGCCAGGACAACCACCTCCAGCTGAACGTCGGCAAGACCAAGGAGCTGGTGGTGGACTTCAGAAGGATCCGCACAGAGAAATATGCCTGAAACCCGTAAACGAAGCAGCATCTGGCTGCAGTTTAAAGACCTTTTTGTCTCAACTTGGTCTTGACTCAGTCTGCTGCGGCTCGTCTTCTACCCAGAACTAGAAGGTTTGCCTCTATTACTCCAGTGCTCTCTGATTGGCTGCCTATTAAATTTTGTATTGATTTTAAAGTTCTGCTGCTTACTTTCAAATGCCTGAACAACCTTGCCCCTGACTAGCTCACCAACCTCCTCGGTCTCTATACTCCCAGAGGTTCTTTACGATCATCTGGTCAGTTGCTTCTGGCCCAGCCCAGGCACCGTCTGAAGACTAGGGGTGATCGTGCCTTTGCCTCTGTAGCACCAAACCTCTGCAACAGTCTTCCTGCTACCAATCGCACCTCTGACTCCATTCAATCCTTTAAAGCACGCGTAAAAAGTTACCTATTCAACCTTCAAGCTTTTCCGACTTGCTAATCCTCACCGCTCATTAACTGCTGTATCGTTTCTCTGGATAATCATGATTTCTCCCTGTTTCTACTTATTAATGCTTTTTGTTTGTTTTCTCTACTTTCTCTATTTTAACTTGTTTTAATGACTTACTGTAAATTACTCTTTATTCCTCGCTGTGAAGCACTTTGGTGTGCCCCCCTGGTTTTAAACCTGCTATATAAATAAAATTGTATTGTACTGTATCTTAACCACTATAATGACCGTGGCGGGACAAACAGGAAGTGATGTCACAGCCACGGACTCGATGACGACACAGACTCAGACTGAGGTAAGTTGCTTTTTTAATTCTCTTTTTTCAGTTCAGGTCAAATTAATTTCACAGAATAATTAAAATGTGTTTTATAAACATTATTGTTTATTAATCACTGTGTTACATTCAAACATCCACAAAAGTGTCAGAAACAAGTTCAGCGTGGTCGCCTGTGGACGACTGTGATGAGAGCGTCACCTGCTGAGATTCAGCGAGCTTAAGGAATCTGCTTCTCTTCAAGTGTCGGCAGTTTCCCTACAGGTCATTCTTCATGTCTGCAGGCGCTCTTCAGCTCAGCAACACAAAGCTGACAAAATGATTTTTACTGATTTTTATTTGTCACAAAATATCAAAAACATCAAAACAGTGAAGAAAAAAAAGCAGTCACAGTACAGAAGAGACTAACGAACCGAACACGAGGGGACCGACATTAAAGCGACTCTTTACATTTAATGTTAGAAATCAAAGAGAAACGCCACCAGATGAGGGGAGGAGTCAGAGAAAAGACTTAACTGCAGCAGCTTACAGCTCAGTGTCCGAGTCACTAACAACATTTGAGCCACTTCAAAGACGTCGCCTGCTAAGAGCGGCTAACGGAGGCTAACAGCAGCTAAGAAAGGCAGAAACAGAAAGGTTCAGCATCTCAGTGTGGCTGTCGTCAGTCAGCAGTGAGCATCACTGACTCGTGTCTGAGTCCTTCCACAAAGTTTCCTCCGGAGTAAACAGCTGTGGATGCTCCACCCAGCATCGTGAGGTGCCCGCAAGAGCGCTTCAGAGTTACAAATATAAATATATATATTTTTATTCTTGACTTATTGCTAAGTATTTATATTATTAAAACATGTTCAAATATAGTGTGTACAAAAGCATTTTTATCCAAACAGTAGAAGCAACAGCAGGTTAATCTGATGATGATTAAAAGTCACCCTCATGTGGTCAAACTGAAGTACTACAACATAAATATCATTTTATTAGCATTTTAAACTTGTTGTTAAATTAAAACATAAGTTTAAAATTTATTTGATCTCCAGAAGGTTGGACGTGTTATCAGCAGGCCAAGCTGGACCAATCAGAGGAGGACGTATTGGTTTAACCACCCAACAAATGATGTTTCTACATTTTATTTTAGTTTATCAGGTTCTTCTACTGAGCTGTGAAACAAATGAAGTTTTCCACAAAGTCAGTGTGAAAAAATAAAAATGAATTTCTGACCCTGAAAAATGTTCAAGGTTTTTTATTTGTCACATGCATAGTTATACATGTATAACACACGGTGAAATGAAAATGTCTTGTAGTCATTCCTTATTTGAAGGTGATGGATTCATATTATTGTTTTGTTTTGTTTTCTAAGATGGAACAAAGTCTGAGTTCATGCATGATTTTAAAAAATGAACAAAATCAACACAGAAAAAACATTCACAGGTCAACATGACTAATGTTCTTCACTGTAATTAAAATGTTTTTAAATGAATAAAATGTCATTTATAAAGTGACTATTAGAAGTAAGCAATGGTCAGTGCATCAACATAGAGCTGACGAAATAATATTAACTGAACAGATGGAAAATAAGAGCCGTCATAAAAGATCAAACAACTTTTTCCTCTGCATGATGTCGCACTGAGACGATGTAATAATCATAAATCTTTCATTACTGCTATTACTTCAAACTCTCTGAATGTTGAATTCATCACTCGGCTTTTATTATTTCCTATCAGCTTTAAGTCTCAAACGTGAGCATCACAGCAGTAAAACTTTGGATCTGTCTGCGGCAGGCAGAAGACTGACAGCAGGCTAAACCAATCAGAGGAGTCCTGTAAACACCATCACATACTTCATGTATAAAATAAAGAGTTTTTACCTCGTGTTTGTGGTCCTAGAATCAAAGTTCAAACCTTATCAGTTATTTAAGCTGAGTGGCTTCTGTTAAACACATGAAATAAAAACCCTGCAGAGACAAACAAAGACGCATTAATGTGTCTGAAAAAGTTTATTTAACAGAGAGCAGATGAAGTGTGTCATTAAGCTGGAGCAGTTCTACTGATGCAAACATCAAACTGAGTTTCTGGAGTTCAGTCAATTTGTACATTAACATCTTAAAACAAACAAACAGCAAATATTTTGATTTTTACTGAAGAATTAAAATAAAAAACAAAAACACGAATATTTGTATTTTAATCATTTCAGAAGTCAAGAGAAAGAGTTCATCATCGAACACTGAACAAACTTCCATCCATCCTCTTATCTTTATTAGGGTCACAGGGGGCGGAGCCTATCCCAGTTACACAGGTGGAGAGGCGTGTACACCTGTACAGGTCCACAGCCTGTCGCAGGAGAAACATGAGAACATAAAAACAGTTTGGTGTTGATGAGAAAATCAAACTTGAACTGTTTGATTTCATACCTGCTGTGTGACAGGAGGTCAGAGGTCAGCAGAGGTGCCGAGTCAGCAGGTCCCAGAGGCAGCAGCAGCACAGGAGAGTCGAGCACGCCGCCAGACACGACTTCCTGCCGCCGCCCTGATCCTGCTGCTGATCCACCACGTAAACTGGAAGGACAGGAAGTCACATGACTAAAGCCTGCAGGATGCGTACCCAGTATAACAATCAGTTGTGACGGCTCTACAGTTTTTTCTATTTTGGGATCCGTATGATGTCATAGAGAGGAGAAATCCTTGTATGGCCATCAGAGAAGCCCCGCCTCCTGTTTGTGAGGGACAGCCAATCAGAAAACCTTGTTTTTCTTGTTTTATATGTATTTTCTTTTATGTGGTTATGTGTTCATGACGACTCAGACTCGCAGCTGCTGAGGTCGTCTGAGCATGTGCAGAAGAGGGAGGGTGGAGGCTGAGGATGGAGGAGGAAGATTTTTCCCCACTATGACACACAAACTGCTGACCCTGCCTGAGCTCTCTGTGTCGTGACCTTTGACCTGCCTGCGTGTTTTGGTGGGTACGAGGCCCCTGGGGGCCCGTCGAGCCTGCCCTGGTAGGCCGACTGGGTCCCAAAGGTGCTCTGTGGGGTCATCGGAGCCATGTAACCTGGATGTTCATGGTAATAGGACTGAGGGAAGGTCTGCAGAGGAAACACGTGGTTACCATAGTAACACTGATGGTCAAGTGACAGTTCGTTAATTTGAAGAAAAATTTATTTTCATGCAGTCAAAGAATTTTTAAATCCTAAAACTGAAAAGAGGCTGAAATATAAAACCAGAAGCTTCATAATCTCTGATGATCCTCAGGATGCTGCAGCAGTGCATGCTGGGTACCTGGTACGGAGAGTTGGGGAAGAAGCCAGGCTGACAGGCGAGAGCTGTAAAGAAACAACAGGATCAAAACTTAAACCTCAGTCTGAGAAATGAAAACAGCTGATTGGCTCAGATTCTGCAGGTTTCCTGAACTGAATTCTTCTGTCCCAGCCGCCTGTGAACGCACCTCAGCCGCCTGTGAACGCACCTCAGCCGCCTGTGAACGCCCTCAGCCGCCTGTGAACGCACCTCAGCCGCCTGTGTGCCTGCATCCTCCCTGCTCCACTTTCCTCCTCCGCTACCCTCCTTCCTCCTCCCCTGCTCCACCCGTGTGCAGTAAAGGCAGAAGAAGCTCATCACATAACTAAACTTTAACTAATGACTTTAATGAAGGCTGTTGCTGTGGCAGTGATGGTCCGTGTTGGTCAAGTTACTTGAAAAAAGTAATTAGTAATTAATAACCAGTGATGGGAATAACAGAGTTACCAACAGCGTTACTTTTTCAGTAACGAGTAATCTAACTAATTACTATTCCTATCGTTACAACACCGTTATCGTTACTAACAAGGAAATGCGGTCTGTTACTGTTTTTCAACAGACGGCTGAAGCTGTGTTCAGCTCACTGCAGCTTATATCAGCTGCAGGAAGTAGCTGTAAGTAATCAGGACGCTGCAGCTTTAAGCAGCTGTGCTCCTGCGGACGGTAACCATCACTTTCTGGCACAACAGCTGGAGCTCAGGGGGCAAAACAATCGCACGAGTGCTGCTGTTTGACTGAGGAAGAATAAAGGAGTCGTGGTCAATCACATGACCACTTACAGACAAAGCAACAAGGTGACATATACCAGTTTATAAACTGTGTTGATCGGCCAGTAAAACCAGAGTCATGATAAACAATATAACAAGTTAAAAGGTTAAAACTAATAAAGTTTTAAAAAGAGACTTTTCCATTTGATTACATTTTGTATGATGGATATGCAGAAAAAGAGAATGGGCTGAAAGATCTAAATCGTGTTTTTAAAAAGTAACTAAGTAATTAATTACTTTTGAAAATAAGTAATCAGTAAAGTAACGGGATTACTTTTTGGGGAAGTAATCAGTAATTAGTTACTGATTACTTTTTTCAAGTAACTTGACCAACACTGTCATACGTCAGTCTATTTTCTAGATGCAATAAAACCAGCAGAAAATAAATAAAGTCAAAGATCAGTCCTGTGCCATTCACCTTAAGCAGGGTGTAGGCGAGGGTTACCCTGGTGCAGTGTGCCGCGGTCAGTGAAGAATCCGCGAGTTTCTCTGTGAGTTTCCCATTACGTCGTAGCTACTCGGTGCTTGTTGGAAGTTTAGGGGTTTTTTTCGCTGTAAAAAGAAGTTTTCTTCCCACGCACAGCGGACACTCATGTTTTTGTCACTTTTTATGGAATCAAACTCAAAGTAAGGTCAGTACTTCCACGCTTTAAACGCTGCACGCTCATACTCTCTCTGCACTCGATATGTGATCCACTGTTGATCTGCACACAGCTGTTGTCACGAACGTCGCACTCGCTTACGTCACTGTCGTGAGACATTCTCGCAATAAAATCACAGTTTTAGTAACGCAGTAACGCAGCGTTCCTACGGGAAAGTAACGGTAATCTAATTAGCTTTTTTCCAATGGTAATCCCTTACTTTACTCGTTACTTGAAAAAAGTAATCTCATTACAACGCGTTACTGCCCATCACTGGTGATGGCACATGCCAACCTTTGACCTCTGTGGCTGAACATGAAGCCAGTTTTGTGTCTTTCAGAGTAAAGCTTGTGCAGCGCAGTTGCACACAGGAAGTGATGTCAAAGATAAAAGAGGACAGACCTGGAGAGAAGGCGGGGGCCGAGGGGCCCTCAGGGAAGTGAGGACGGTACGGCGGAGGCTCGGCGCTCATCCTGGAGGGACGGTCGGCTGATGGCGTCGCTGTAGAAGAGGAGAGCAGAGACACTGAGCGGCTGTCTGAGCGTGGATGCTGACGCGTCTCCTGAGTCAGAGTCAGGTCAGTGAACGCTGCCTCACAGCTCCATAATCCAATCTGCTGCCACAGACCTCCACCTCTCTGTCAACACTGTTTTTATTCACGCTCAGGATTGTTGGTGTCAGCTGAGCCTTATTTACCGTCTGCACAGCACAAAACTTCCAGCTGAGACACAAAGAAGCTTTCAGATGTTTGAACGGGAACTCAAGGTTTCCCATAATTACTTCAGAGCTTCAGTTTAGTCGTCAATACTTTATTACCAGACAACAGAAAGTTCATTTTAACCAAATAACCAGACTCCATTCACGAATCCTGCAATTTAAGGTTTTACAAGCAAGCCTAAGAATTCCAAACTAATTCATTTTACACTTCTGGAATTTTACAGTTTCAAAGTGTCGTCTCTTCAGTTCGTCTCTGTTTAACCCACCTCACTGCAAAAAAACGTCAGAATCCAGGAAACTTTGACCTCAGTCTGCTGCCCGCCTGTAAGAAACCTGCAGTCATCACAGAGCCTTTAAACGTGTGGTTTTTAAATGGAGTCTGGTGTGACAGAATCTGAACTCACCTTCCAGCTGAAGACAAACTTCTGCTAAATCATTGATTTTCTCCCCGGTGAGCTGACAGACGACTGACGGGCTGAGGAGGGCAGACAGCTGCCAGAGGCAGAGGAGGTGTGGTCAGAGGTCTCCTCCTGCTCCTGCTCCTCCTCCTGCTCCACTGATGGTGGCTTCCTGTTTGTTTTTCTTGCAGCGTTTGGGCTCAGACTGGTTCACAGGAAGCCAAATAAAGTCTGCAGCTTTCAGGAGTCACCCTGGAAACAGCTTCAGAGATATCTGCTCATACAAACTGATCACTGATCAATAACATTCAGCCTCATCTCTTTATTTTTTTTGTTGATAATTTATCATCTTTGAATGTATTTTAATTTTTCAATATTTTTCATTTTTGGTTCTGTTTTTCTATCTTTTTTACATTTTTAATATTTTATTTTTCACTTTTTAAAATCGTTTTTAACCGTTTCTTTGTTTTTTTACACAAACAATAATAATATCGATTTTTCTTTCCCATTATATGTGTTATTGTTTCATAAATGATAATGTTTTACATTTTTATTAATAAGATTTATTATTTTATTACTTGTATGATTTTTTTGTGCTTACTTTTAAAATATTTATATTCATTATAAATGTTTTTACATTTTTATTTAATTTAATGTGTAAAAAATAAATACAATTTTTTTACATATAAATGTTATTTCTTTAAACAGCTGTTGCTCGAGTTTCATACCAGAAAAAAATGTTTTTATCAGTTTATTATTGGTTCATTTATACATGACATCATTGATCACTTTTACTGCGAGGAAACAACGACAGCCTGTCAGATGCTCAGAAACTCAATCTTACCTAATAACAGTAAATACAGCACAGCTTCTATTTAAGGGTACGTCAGCCAATCAGGAAGCAGAAGGAGAGTCAGATGTCACTGTGGGCGTGGCATTTGTTTCAGTTCATGCCTGCATGCAAACTGCTGCTTTCAGCACAGGAAACAGGCCAGTTTATCTTCAGTCTGTTTCTCCAGCGCGTGTTCATCGCCCTCTGGTGGCCGAGTTAGTCAGTGCAGCTTTAAAACACGATAATGAAGCTCAAAGCAGAACAAACAGACGCGTCTCTACAGTTTTTGCTACGTGTCCTCTGTTTACAGGAAGTCTTCCTCCACCTTGGATGTGAAGCGGTCCTTTTTACTAACGTGGGCGGATTTTCACTGTTACCCTTTGAGCCGATCGCCACCTCCTCTGCTCCTCCCTCGTTTGTGCTTGTGGTGGTGACAGACCCTGGAGAGCCGCACAGAGTTCAGGTGAGGCTGTGGCAGTCACACACAGAGACTGATGATGTTACCTCTCAAATCAAACGCCTCACAGTTAGGAGGAGCAGATGTGACTCCGCCCCTCGAGGGGAGGAGCTGTGACGACAGGAAACAAGAAAATGAACTTCAGTTACGACTCATAACCTCGGTTCTATGTGCACAGATGGAGCTGAAGGGGTCAAAGGTCAGGGCTCAGCCTTGTTTATGGTGTGGATGGATGTTTTCAGCGATGAACCTGCTAGCCTTTAAACTTTCGGACGTGTTGGTGGAGGTTTTGATCGACTTCGTCCTTCACTCATCCTGCTGATCAATCACAGCGACTGATTCAGGTGTGTTTGTGGTCCAAGCATCGTGTTCTGGAGTTGCTGGTGATGTCACTCAGCCAGGCGGACCACCAGAGCCCTATGTGCACAGAGTTCAGCCAATCAGAGGCCGGTCTGGAGGCCCAGTGTGGTCAGGGGTAACATATCTGGAGAATCAGCTACCCTAACCCCTGGGGGCTCTGGTGGTCCCGCCTTCATCATTAGGACGTGGCGGCCTGTTTGTTGCGGAAAGTTTCAAAAAACGCCATCATGCCCTTCCTCACATTGCTGCTGCTGCCGCTACCCTTCGCCATCCTCTGCGCCATCATGCTGGAGCTGCTGCCACCATGGTGACGGGATGTGAGGGGAGGGAAGGCGGCGCCATCCATGGAGTTGGCCCGTTTCACCTTTGACGGGTTTGCACGCCATGATTTGGTCCTTGGGGGAGGAGTCTGAGCCACCAGACACTTCTGATACTGGACCTGAAGGAGCAACAGCAGCCAACAGAGGGCGCCAGAGGAATGATTTATTCTTATGATTAATATTTATGCAATATATCAACAAAAACTCTGAGTGTACGTCAGGTGATCAGTGTGATGTCCGTGACCTGCATCTCTCACCATGCACGCAGCCTGGACGGCCTCGGAGATGATCCCAGCGTCCGGTTCACACCAGAACACGTGACATTCAAACTGCTGCGTGCCGCCGTCCACGATCACTGCGAAGGTGTGGCTGTCGTGACCGACGCCCAGGAAGGTGAGGAAGCGTACCTGACACTCCCAGAATGGCTCGTCGCCGTCCTGTCAGCACGACAGGAGGAGGGTTAAACACAGCCATGATGACCTTTGACCTGAAGTCTATGTGCATCGAGGACTGTACCTCTCCTTTCCACAGAGACAGGACGTTATCGGTGACGTGGATCACGGTCGGCTCCCAGTCGTCTCGGTCTGTGGAGTTCATGATGCTTTCTATCGCTCGGTTCAACACCTCCATACCTGCGACACACATCAGCGACCTTTAACGTTTTAATCACACAATATTAAAACACTCCTACTGGTTACACTAAACATTCACATAGGGTTTTATTTCCACGGAGGCCCTCCTGATCGGAGACCTCAACATCTGCGATCGTCCACGTCAGATGTTCCCTGTGGCGCTTCAGGCCTGTTTCAGGTCGCTCAGCTGATCCGTGCATCTCCAGGTTTCATGACCAGGACTCACCTGGTCTCATGTTGTTAATGTGGGAGCCGTGTATAAAAAAGATCTTAAATAATTAGAGCAGTATTTTGTTAAGTTGCTTGAATTAAAGCTGAAAGTCTGCATCATGGTTGTCTGCATGATCACCTGTATGTGTGTGCTGTACATGAGTGTATATCATGGTCCAAAGCACCAGTGTTTCCAGTGAATGCATATTAATGGTTGAGCTCAGCCCAGGTGTGACAGGTGTGTTTATGTCCTACCCATGGCTCGCGACACCGGCAGGTTGCCGATGTACTGGACCTCAAACTTCTGCACCTGCTGCCGCACTGCCTCCAGAAACTCCACTGAAACGACAGCAAGATCAGTAATCAGCCAAAATTAGTGCAGGACCAATCAGAGCGCAGCGTCTACACTAAGGACGCACGGCAGGTGACTCACCTTGTCTCGGCAGGTCCTCAGGTGAGATGCTCTCCATGGTCAGGGAGCGGGACGGCCTCATCAGAGCCTTCTCAGACATCATCTAAACACAGAGTGTAGAGAAGTAAAAAACGCTGACCTCTGACCTCTCAGGTAAACCAGCTGACCCACAGCTGTAGTTGACCCTGAGCTGCAGGTGGCCCTGAGATGTGGGTGACCTCCACTGACCTTTGAGCACATCTCATGCAGCGCCGTGGCGATGGCTTTGGCTGGAGCGTCGCAGCGAAACACGTGACACTTCAGCACACAGCTGTCCTTATCCCCCGCCACGAAGGCAAAGTCCCTGAATGCACCACACGCACACACACGCACACGCACACACACACGCACGCACGCACGCGCACGCACACGCACACGCACGCACACACGCACACAGCGGACCGATCAGGTGGTGATCAGCAGCTGAACTTAGTTAATGACCCTGACATGTGGAGGAGGCTGTGAGTGTAAGGGTAGTGGTTTACCTGTCCCTGCCCAGGTGTGAGGGGGCGTGGCAAAGAAACACACAGAGTTAGTGTAAACAAACCGAAGCATGCAGGAGCACAAACCAGGAGTTCAGCTCAGTGAAGCACAAACACAGGAAGCGGGGGAATACGCTCTCTGATTGGCTCACCTGCCATTGTTGCAGCCCACCCCCCAAACACGGATATTGATGATTGGCTGACAGTGCAGGGGGGTGTGGTCTAATGGGTCCAACAGGGTCAGGGTGTCTTTTTTCAGAACTAGCATCATCTCGCGGCCCTGCAGACAGACAGGTGGATGGACAGGTGATAAACAGGTTCCACAGGACACACGTGCACTTCCTGCATCCTGCCACAGGAGGGCAGCAGGTGTCTCACCTCCCCCCAGGCACCCAGCCGGTCTCTCTGCTCGGGGCTGCTGCAGTGAGACAGCTGCTGGATGACGTTACTAACAGCGAGGCTGCTGCGACCAGGAGAAAGGTCCTCCTCCTCCACCTGCAGCCAGCCGAGGGAGCGCACGGCAAAACACTGGACAGGTGGAGGGGGAGACATGTAGAGGGGGAGACAGGTGGAGAGGGAGACAGGTGGAGGGGGAGACAGACAGTAGGTTGATGGGTGACAAACAGAAACCAGGACACAGAGGCAGAGAGATTAAATCAGATTAATGCGCAATAAAACGAGGTCGAGAGACACAGACACAAACAAAGAGAGAGAGAGTGAGATTAGCGCAGATTAGAGCACCAGAATAAGTCCTGGACCAACGAGGACCTCTCGTTTCTGTGTTCAACACGTCGTTCCAGAAACCTCTCCATCATTTTCATCATGTTCACACAGGAAGTCGAATGTGCCCTTAATTTATTACCTGTGTAAATGAACAATAACCACAGGGGGCGCTGTGGCCCCAGTCAGAGTTAAAGTGACAGAGTTTTTATTTATTTGACAGAATCAGGTATTATTAATGTTGCTGTCTCACCTTGGAGTCGGGGTCGTGGTTGGTAAGGTCATCTTCGTGCCACGAAGACCTGAGAAACAAAAAGAGTATCACCTGCACAGGTGTAGAGTGCAAACAGCAGGTCCTCATGATTACAAGGATCAGTGTGTCCTCATAAGTCTGCAGAACTACAGTGAGGACCAGGGTCGGGGTCCAGGACACACCTGTGGGGATGTTTGTAACCAGTGGGGACAGCTGTGACGGGACTTCAGCTGTACGAGGACGTGTTTACAGTGAGGACATGTGTCCACTGTGAGGATGTGTTTACAGTGAGGACATGTGTCCACTGTGAGGATGTGTTTACACTGTGAAGACATGTGTCCACTGTGAGGATGTGTTTACAGTGAGGACATGTGTCCACTGTGAGGACGTGTGTCCACTGTGAGGATGTGTTTACACTGTGAGGACGTGTGTCCACTGTGAGGACGTGTGTCCACTGTGAGGACGTGTTTACACTGTGAGGACAGTTTACACATGTCTACTGTGAGGACATGTGTCCACTGTGAGGATGTGTTTACACTGTGAGGACGTGTGTCCACTGTGAGGATGTGTTTACACTGTGAGGACGTGTGTCCACTGTGAGGTTGTGTTTACACTGTGAGGACAGTTTACACATGTCCACTGTGAGGACGTGTGTCCACTGTGAGGACGTGTGTCCACTGTGAGGACATGTGTCCACTGTGAGGACGTGTGTCCACTGTGAGGACATGTGTCCACTGTGAGGACATGTGTCCACTGTGAGGTTGTGTTTACACTGTGAGGACAGTTTACACATGTCCACTGTGAGGACGTGTGTCCACTGTGAGGACAGTTTAGTCGTCACTCTTTAAAGGACAGCTGTGTCCTGGACCTGGACACCTTTAAGCTGTCATGGTGGGAACACATCACCCATACTGCACATGTATGTGTTACCTGTCCTCAGGTGGACCTTCTGTCTCCTTGTTGGAGCTCTGCTGTCCAGCCTCCTCCTGCTGAGACACCACAGAAGAAGAAAAGCCTGAGGTGACCGGGTCAATCTGAGCAGGTTTACTGGAGCAGGTCTGCTTCTTCTCACCTGGGCATCGAGCAGCTGCGGTGTCCCTGTAAGACGGGGATGTTGCCACTGGGTGGCGCCGGTGGGAACGTGCCAGTAGTACGTTCCCGTGGAGTCTTTGATGGTTCTCCAGCCAGAGGGAAGGTCTGGGTCCAGCAGCAGGTTCTGGTCTGTCCAGATGTTGTCTACAGGGACACAAAGCAGGTAAATGTGAACTGTTTAAAAGATGGAGCAAGCTTCTGTCTCTGAGAACATGGGCGGGGCTTAAACCTGCATTCAATCTGATGGCCACCAGTGGGCGATGTGTGTGGTTCCTGTTCTGTTCATGAGTCGCTCTATCACACGTGTGATAGACTGGAGCATCGACAGGAGTACGCTCATTGGCTGACAAACTGTGATCGACTGATTAGCCAATGAATGTGCGCCTTCACATTTAGACCCTTTTGTATTGTCTATATCAGTAAATATTTTTAACAGTGCCCCCTGCAGGTCACAGCAGTGGCTGTAGCTGGCGACCACAGCCGGCTGCATCGGATCGTCAAAGCAGCTGCCGACACCATCGGCCATCTCTGCCTCTGCTGCATCTTTCACAAACGCTGCATCAGTCGGGCCTCCTGCATCGTGCGTGACCCCTCACACGACTCTTTTCTCCTCCCTCCCATACGGCAGACGCTGTTGCAGCACCGGGGCCGATCCTGCAGACTGCGGGACAGCAGCTGAACTCACCACAGGCTCCTCCCCCCCCCACACACACACACAAACTGTAAACTGACTCTATTGGACTCCACAGACCACTGCTGGATGCTGCTCTCCTGCTTATGTTGATCACTTTGTTTCACACTGTGAAGCTGCTACGCTGGTCATTCTAAACAAAGTCACTTTAAATCTCAATTGTAAATTTTAGACTGTTATTAACCCTTTTACCTCAAAGTGTACATTTACTCCCCTTTATATTTTTAGATTTATTCTTATTCGTACTCTTCCCATATGTTGTTCTTGTGCTCTGTATGGAACTGGAGCCTCGTCGTCTCGTCTCCATATACCGAACTGTACATGGCAGAGATGACAATAAAGTTTACTCTGAGTTTGAAAACCCTCGTTGAAGATTTTACAAAATCTTAAATATTCTTAGATTATTTTAGTCTTCTGTTTAAACCAATAGCACCCCGTGATGATGATGATGATGATGATGATGATGATGATGATGAGTGTTACTGCATTCATAAATGCGAGTCAGGGTTCAAATAAAGCACTAGCCAAAGTAATCTCATTACTGCACTCATCTCTAATCGTGTCGTCAAACTTCTTTCAGATGTGAAAATGTTCAAATGTTCTGAACTCAGAGTTCAGACAAACATTCATTTTGTGTGCAGCTGAAACATGCTCACTGTCAGCTCCAGCTTTGAGTCCACAAACTGAGCTCAGACATCCATCACCTCACAGCTGCTTTAACCTCCTAGGACCTGCGTCCTCATATGTGCACATCACATTTTGGGTTATTTAGACCAAAATACTCAATTTTGCTCTACAAGGGCCTGATATCCACTTACGAGGACATTATCCTGCTACTGTTCTATCGAAATTTTAAACAAATATCCTCATATGTGGCTCTCACTTTTCCTTAAAAACAAAAATCAGGTAATTCTTTGTTTTTACATTCATCAGGTCCCAATCCGCCCAAATATCAAAGAGAGATTAAAAATGCTGCTGTGGAAGAGTTCGGGTCGTATGGGGTTAAAGCACCGCTCTGCCCATCATCAGATCAGGTATCGATCCCGGGACATCAGCACTGCTGTCTGCTGCAGAGGACACGTCCATGCGCGCGCAGTCAGCGCTGACACATCACAACTGCATCTGTTCACTCTGAAAGCAACGGCACTTATAATCATTTTCAATTCAATGAAGTGAGCGGTTGCATTTCTGTATAGACACATTCAGCAGCTCACGTTTAATGAAAGCGTCCTTTTAAAGGTAGCTGAACGCTCTGTGATTGGCTGCTCTCTGCACTGAGTCAGCGATGTTCAGATGTGCGTCCGTGGATCTGAAACGTTTTCTCAGATTCTGGTTCCCTGCAGGGTCCTGGGTTGTTCTGGAGAATCCTGAGCCTGAACATAAGTCTGTATGTTTCTATGAGCTGTGCCCCGAGCACGGACACGTCCACCACCTTGTGTCCTTCAGGCCTCCTGCTCTGCTCTCACACTGCTGACTCTCTGAGCTCTGAATGTTCCTGTTTTATTCCTGATATCTCTGTAAAAACTACAACAGGAGAGGCCGGCGGTGATCGGAGGTCACGCTGCGTTAGAGGAAGAGAGGAAACCGGAGAAGCTGTGAATAATTAATAAGTGCTCCGAGACACCAGACGCTGAATGGGCTGATTAAAAGACAACGATACGATCAGCCTGAGACGGGGAGGCGGGGCCATGCTGCTGACCAGCAGAGCTGCGGCCTGAAAGTCGTTCCCACAGCAGAGCACTGATTGTGTCAGACAACAGTTACCTGTGATTGGGAGCTTATACACACTGAGACGCTTACATTCAGTCATGTGGGGGATTTAATATTCCTGGTATATAATCACACGTGTTTCAGATTAAGATGAAAGTTTAAAGTCACGCTCATCCAAACCTTTATTTTAGTCTGTTTCCCCAAACAGGGAGAGACGCCTGCTGAGCATGAACTAAAGGTTTGTCTCATAAATGTTCATGTTGAAGCTGAACGTTGAGCTTCTGCTGGTTCAGGGCTGATGAAGGACTGAGACGGCACCAACGACTGAGATACGAATATAAGAAATACTTTACCCCGTGTTTGGGAAGCTTCCTTTACAATAATAAGAATAATAAGAATAATAATAATAATAAGAAGAAGAAGAAGAATAATAAGAGAGACTCCATCTGTTGGTCAAAGTTACAAATTTTTGTTATTTTTTTCTTTTTGTTTGTTTTTTCAAGAAAAAATCCGCCTTAGCTTTTTATTCGTTTTCTAATCTGTATTGGGGACATTATTTTGTACATGTGCGACCCGGCTGTTTTAAATGGTATGACTAATAGAAATGAATACATGTACCGCGTTACGTATTTAAAATACAAAATATGAGTAACTGTATTCCGTTACAGTTACCGTTTAAAAAGGTGGTATTCAGAATACAGTTACTTTGTTGAAATAAAGGGATTACACGGTACTTTCCTGTTTCATATGTTCGGCTATGCCCTCTCTATTTTTGGTTTCCACGCCCCAAACAAAACGAGGCTCTAATGTCTGTGTCTCAATCTCGCGGCCGCATGATGATAAGAAGGAATAAGTTATTCACAAAAATGATTTAATATGAAGGCAACAGGCAGAGTGTTACGGGCATTGCCCTAAAGCAGCGGTCCCCAACCCCCGGGCCTCGGACCGGTACCGGTCCGTGAGTCGTTTGGTACCGGGCCGCGAGAGTTGAGGCTCAGGTGTGAAATGTATGGTTTTCAGGGTTTTTATCGGTTTTCAGCGTTATTTTGTTATCGTTTTTATCGTTTACTCGGTTTTCCTGGGTCTTTTCACGTGTGTTATGAATAAATCTTTTTTTTGGTACCGGTACTAGTTTTATTTTGTTGTATTTATCCGCGACACCTTAAAGGCCGGTCCATGAAAATATTGTCGGGCATAAACCGGTCCGTGGCGCAAAAAAGGTTGGAGACCGCTGCCCTAAAGCATGCAGCCTGATGGAGCGTAGCCCGTGCTGCAGGGAGGATGGACCTGTGATGTGTCTGTGAGCGAGGAGGGAGAAAAAGGAAAAGTAGGAGCTGTCACCGAGCAGAAACGGGAGCTGGAAGCATGTAAATATAATAATAACCACTGCAGCCAAACAGAGTGCCTGACGAGCCCAGTTGTAAGTAAGCTGTTAAGACTCGACTGTACACTGTGTTCGTGTTTTCCTCTGAAACAATAAGTTCCGTTGAGCAGCCTTTCAACGCCTCTCTCTGTCTCTCGCTAGCAAACTTGACCCAGCACAACAAAGTAAAGCTAGTTTTCAGCTACGAGCCGACAGCGAACCCGACGTATCAGCCAGAGGTCCCTTTACTACGGTTCGGAGCCGCAGACCTTTTAGTATACAGAATATCACACAGCATCATGTACTTGCCTTACCTAATGTAAAAAAGCATGATAATATAATAAGTAATCCAAAGTATTCAGAATACGTTACTCTCATTGAGTAACGTAACGGAATATGTTACAAAATACTTTTTGGATTATGTAATCTGTAATCTGTAGTGGAATACATTTCAAAAGTAACCTTCCCAACGCTGCATATATATGAGAAACGGCAGCTCGGAGTCTGGTCCAGCCCTGGATACAAACAGCTGACTTCACAGGCTGTGACCTGAGCGTCCTGTGTGCCGACTGCAGCGGAGCTTTAGCTCATAATGACCCTTTAAAAGACGAGTGATGGAGGACAAACACCACCGTCCTTCTGTAGACTTTGTTGTGTCCCTCTGTGTTTTCCTGTCCCTCTCTAATGTTTTGGGCCTGATGAGGACCCCGAACACCAGAAGGTCAGTCAGTTAGCAAGGCTAAAAGCTAACAAAAAAGGTTGCATTAACAATAAAAACACTGAAGACTATTTCTGCTTATTCTGTTACTTTTCCTCCAATCAGCACTCATATGCTGGTTAGCTGGAAGACTTAAAGTGAGCACTTAGGTTATATATCCAAATGCTTCACTCCGTGTAGCCACGTACCTGCACAAACAAACTCTAGAGCCAGGCTAGGGCTAACACATGGTATCATGCTAACAGACCCCAAATAACAACAACAACAAATGTTCTTAAATATCTGTGAACCTGTGTACCCCCTCTCTGCCTCCAGTAATATTTCTGTTTATATTTATACATTTGACAGCTTAACGTTGACTACAGTGATGGCTGTGCTGACAGATCTGCTGCAGCTGGATAATCCACGTTGACAGTAACTGTGTGAAAGGTGCACCTGCTGGCTACATACATGATGTACTGATACAGACTGAAGCTAAAGCTCTAAGGTTCAATCATGACAACATGCTAACACAACGAACATAAGCTAACAAGTTCAGAATCATGAGTCTGTGTCAGAGCAGTGAAGCTAAAAGGTCAGAGGTCATGAGATTATGCTAACAGGCTGCAGTTTCATTTTTGTGGACAAACACGTTAGCAGGTCCTGGTTAGGCAGCAGCAGCACCAGGACCCCTGTTTGCATGTATGTGTGATTGTGTGTGTCTTACCATCATAGTTGACTATAATGATGGCCAACATGTAGTCCTTGCCCATCATGGCTCCGCCCTCCAATACGTGTGTTCCAATCAGCTGATCACCAACACACACATACACACGGGCCCAGAGGACGGTTGTTAACGTCTTCTCCCGTTCGCCTCTCTCTCTGTCTGTCTGTCTCAGTGTCTCTCGTTCCTCCGGCTGTCGCTCTCTCCGACGACACCATCAGTCTTCTTCTTCTCCTCCTTTGTGCTTGCCCAGCGTTTGTCTCTCCCTCTCTCTCCCTCCTCTCTGCCTGATAAACGATGCTGCTTGTCCTCCTCTCCTCCCTGTCCTCCCTCTCCCTGACTCTCCTCCTCCTGCTGATGTCATCACTCCCCTCCCTCTCCTATCTCACCCTTCACTGTAAAAAACTCAGTGTTACTACTGTGGTCGCGTTCACATAATGTCTGGTAAACAGTCAACTCGAGGCACTTCATATTGTACAGTAGACCCTACAATAACACATACAGAGAAAAACCCAACAATCATATGAACCCCTATGAGCAGCACTTTGGCGACAGTGGGAAGGAAAAACTCCCTTTTAACAGGAAGAAACCCCCGACAGAACCAGGCTCATGGAGGGGCGGGGCCATCTGCTGTGATTGGTTGGGATGAGAGAAGGAAGACAGGATAAAGACATGCTGTGGAAGAGAGACAGAGATTAATACTCCTCCAGATTTGGAGGTCTGATTCTCATTCCCACTGTTTCACACTCGGCTGCAAACCGTTCCAGTGCGAGCTGGAGGCCATCACTCCATGAAGCCAACAGAACCACATTTTTTACAAAAAAACAAAGAAGAGACTCTGAGACCACCCAGTGAAGCCTTCAGACACTTCACTACGCCTAGACGTTCTGTCCATAAAAGTTATGAAGAGAATCGATGACAGAGGGCAGCCCTGGCTGAGTGCAACACCCACTGGAAACCAGTCTGACTTATTGCCGACTACGCGGACCAAGGTTGTATTAGGATGGCCTGCTTCAGAGACAGGGATGATAAATATGAACAAGTATCTCTGCCTGGTTTTAGACATCCAGCAGTTAATGTCATCAGTGCAGCTGACAGAGGTCAGATCATAAGATCATCTGCACGGAACAGCAGGAGATGTTGTGGTTCGTTATGATTGTACCAAGTGGGAGCATGTAGAGGCTAAAGAGCAGTGGACCGAGGTCAGAACCCTGAGGGACCCCTGACTGGAGTGTGATTACTTTGACCGTTAGATATGGTGACAGGCAATTCATTTTGTTTGTTTTCAAATCATTTGCTGAGAAATGAAAGATTATAAATGATTAATTATCAGTGGCTCTAAGAGGTGTGACACAGATGTGACAGGTTGGTGGGGTCGAGTACAGAGACTGTAACTGATGAGGAACTTCAGGTGAGAAAGTTTAAAAATGGTCTTGTGGAGTTGAACCTCTATTTCCTGGATCAAAGTTTCACTTTTCACTTCACTAACGGGAGCACGCTACACGGTTATTAGTTTGACTTTCACAATAAAACACTCCAGCGATCAACTAATGACTGCATCCAGGTTCATTAGTTTGTTTACAGTCTCTCTTTATTTCAGGCTCACTGCGTGTCTCACTACGTCATCATATCTGTGACACAGCGGCCACGTGTCCCGGAAATGTTTGTAATGTTGGGAGTTCGTGAAGCTCGAGACATTTCAAGATACAGAACCATTTCCTTTTCAAAGTAAAAGCCTTAACATTAAACGTAAGAACATGTTTAAACGCAACACTATAATCGTTTATTTTATTTTCTAGTTTCTGGGCTTTTACTCATTTCATTTCATTCATTTCATTTATTTGTTCATTTCCAGGCACAACAAATACCTATATTGAACATAAAATGCACAAAACAAAAAACAAAAATTGCCTGAAAAAGGAGTGGGACGAAGAAAACTTATTAAATCCCACCCCTATACTCACTCATCAACAAAAAAACAAAAAACAAAACAAAACAATAAACTTCCCGCAGCTACGCCCATTATTGCATACAGTCCCATCAACAGCCCCGGGCGCATACAAGCATCTAAACGGCAGCTCGCAAACAACAATTAGAGCCTTCATAACTGAATACAGAATATATAAATTATAAATTACATTACCACAGGTAACAGGCAGAATAACTACAAGTAACAAAACACATACATATACATACATATATATCTACACACACATGTACATATATGCACATACATACGCACACTCTTTTTTTTTTTTTTTGAATCCATACCAGCAATGGTAAGAGAACAGACATTACAGAGCACACTAAAAAACCATCATTGAGTATACTGTGACCAGACCAACTGTTTGTAGAGAAATTTAAATCTATGAATATTTTTGCATTGTTTCAGTTGTAAACTCAGACTGTTCCAGATTTTCACACCACATACAGACACACAAAAACCTTTACGGGTTGTTCGAGTTCTGGGTAATTTGAATTCTCCAAATCCTCTACACATTATAAACCTTTTCTCGAATTTCAAATCTAGTTTGTAAATTTGCGATTACTACATTTATAAATTATTAACTCTAAAAAGTCATCTTGTTTCTTTGTTTGCTTATCATAATCAGAAAATATGTATATTTACTCACTTAAGTAACTCAGTTATTGTATAATATTATTGTTAAATGTTATATTTTTATTATTTTATCATAGGTTTTTATTTTATATGCAGCAATTTATTTTATTCCAAAAATTTAGTGGTGACAGAAGAGTTTTCTCTGCCTTTGCACATCTATCTCTCCTTGAACAAGAAAAAATACATATAAAAATGCATATCCTTTCTAATATTTATTCAGAGTGATATTAGAAAAATATAAAATAAATAAACGTTTCAAGAAACTTTTATTTTGAAGCTGGACCGGAAACCGTTCCCCGTGTAGTCTGACCCGGGCCCGGCGTGTTCCGTCCACAGCAGGACTCTGTGTCGGTTTACTTTAAGTTTAATTTGGACCAAAGTTGCCCCGAAGCTTCGGTCCCTGTTTAGCTCGGTGGATTAGCCTCCCGGTTAGCTTAGCCCAGCTTCCCGCCGCTGCTCTCTGGACTCCAACATGGAGGACATGTACGTTAAACCCGGTGAGTTTCCTCCTCCCGGCACAGAGCGGCTCTGCCTCCATGAAGAAGGACATTAATGTTAATGAACGGCGTCGTGCCCGGTAACGATCTGCTCTCCTCTCATCGCCTATTAACAGAACACAGTGACGAACTTCATTCACAAATCTGTGAATTTAAAGTTTTTAGGACTACAGGCAGTAAATAAATAGTGTGTAAACATAATCTGTGTCAGGTACCAGTTATTGGGTTGTTATTCGACATTCGGCCAGCAAACAATCCATAAAATAGAAATGGAGGGTTAGTGTTTTATTTAACGGTAACGGGCTGTTGCGACTTGTATGAGTACGTGTAAGGTTACATTTGAATTTATGTCTGATTTAAACATGCCGTTTGTAGCTGATTTCTCTATGAGTGGAGTCTTCGTGTTCAGAATGATGAACCGGAGTTTGGTTGGACTGGCTGGACACGTAAATGAGTCCGCCTGCTCAGCTGGAACAGAATCACCTGAGAGCCAGGTAGTACCGGACTGCAGTCGCGTGGTCAGCTGACTCCGAAGGGAGTCTGTGTTTATCTAACATCAGAGACACCGCGCGTGGAAAGAAAGACGCGACGAACCTCATTCAAAAACCTGTTAGTTTTACATTTCGCGGAAGCTTCAGCCAGCTCACACACACCTGACACCTGTAAATGTTAGTGTTTCTTAATCCTGAGTGTATTTAGGTTCGGCTCACGAGTCATGCACCAGATGATCATCATCCAGGTGCAAACAGGAGTTTCATTTGATGTTTCCACAAACTGAAAGTCCTGATCAGGTTATAGCGGAAATCACGTGATCAGTGACGGCTCGATAAACGACCTGACTGACCTCCTTATGTTTACACACACGTGGACAACGTTAGTGTTGCTGTTTTTAGATTACAGAGCTGCTTTCATTGATCAGTTATTGATTACGAGGCATCAGATGGTGTGTTTCTGTCTGACCGATGAGGGTCATTGATCACATGAACAGCTTCAGCCATCTGTCACAGGGCAAACTGGGGTATTGATCCCAGTGTGCTTTAAATTAGAGGATGGATCATGTGACCAGTGAGGGGATCAATAATCAGTCACATCTGAGTCACAGTAATGAATCTCCACAATCCACCTCCTGCGTGATGTGAGTCATGTGAGTTTGTGTTGTCCCTGAACCTCACACCATCTCACCTTTACCTGAAACGTCCCAGGTGGAAGGACCACGTCTTTATCTGAATTCTGCAGACTGTCAGGTCCCTGCTGTCAGTAGTGTTCTCAAAAATAGAAACGCTCTTCGCTGTTGTTCAGACTCCATTTTTAATTCCATTAAGTAGAAAATCGTGGGGGTGATCGTGGCTCAAGAGTTGGGAGTTCGTCTTGTAATCGGAAGGTTGCCGGTTCGAGCCCCGGCTCCGACAGTCTCGGTCGTTGTGTCCTTGGGCAAGACACTTCACCCGTTGCCTACTGGTGGTGGTCAAGGGACCAAGTTGATAGGTACGCTGACAGAATCAAAAAGAGGTGGCGCCAGTGTCCAGGCAGCCTCAGCCATCTGTCAGCTGCCCAGGGAGATATACAAAATCGAACCGAATTGGTATGTGGGCTACAATGTAGCTGCCATCACCAGTGTGTGATGGTGGAGTGACTTGGATGTGTAAAAAGCGCTTTTGGCAACGGGTCCGTTAGGAACGAGTATAGCGCATATACAATATACAAGGCCATTATATCACAACAATTCAGATTGTGAGCTGCGGCCTTTCATGGTGTTATCAGGAAGCATGTTTACGGGCCCAGCAGTGGAGCAAGACCGGTGACTGCGTGCATGCCTCTTACCTGAGGAAACATTTATGAGTCTGGTTTCCAAAACTTCCACAACTCTTTGAGCAGGGTATTCCAGGAGTCGGTGGCTGGCAACGACCCCACCTCAGTGTCTCCTATGGCTTCCAGATGGCCCACGGAACCACGAAGGTACCTCGATAACCATCTAACGAAGAGACCGGCCTACCAGCGACTGACCATCAGGAAATAAACGAACAAAAAGATAGTTTTGACTGTGATCGACTCGATAATGAATACGGCTACTTATTGGGAGCCGTGTATATTTTTTTCTTTCCTCGCAGCTTTTTTTGTCGCTTCACGCCGTACAACGTGTAGTCCGCTGTGTGTGCTATGTACGCAGCAGGGGGGGATAGGAGGCTGAGCAGTTTACAC